AATTCCAGAAATCCTGAAATGATCCAAATGATTCTAATGAAGGTGTGTGGAGTTTACAAACACAATTTTAGTCCTAGTTTAGTCCCATTTTAGCCCTGGTTTAGTCCTAGTTTAGTCCTGTTTAAGTCCTAGTTTAGTCCTGCTTTAGTCCCATTTTAGTCCTGTTTTAGTCTGATTTTAGTCCTAGTTTAGTCCCGCTTTAGTCCCATTTTAGTCCTGTTTTAGTCTCATTTTAGTCCTAGTTTAGTCCCATTTTAGTCCTGTTTTAGTCCTAGTTTAGTCCCATTTTAGTCCTGTTTTAGTCTGATTTTAGTCCTAGTTTAGTCCCATTTTAGTCCCGTTTTAGTCTCATTTTAGTCCTAGTTTAGTCCCATTTTAGTCCTGTTTTAGTCCCATTTTAGTCTGATTTTATTCCTAGTTTAGTCCCATTTTAGTACCATTTTAGTCCCGTTTTAGTCCTGTTTTAGTCCTAGTTTAGTCCCATTTTAGTCCTAGTTTAGTCCCATTTTAGTCCCGTTTTAGTCTCATTTTAGTCCTAGTTTAGTCCCATTTTAGTGCTGTTTTAGTCCCATTTTAGTCCTGTTTTAGTCTGATTTTATTCCTAGTTTAGTCCCGTTTTAGTACCATTTTAGTCCCGTTTTAGTCCTGTTTTAGTCCTAGTTTAGTCTCATTTTAGTCCTAGTTTAGTCCCGCTTTGGTCCTAGTTTAGTCCCATTTTAGTCCTGTTTTAGTCTGATTTTATTCCTAGTTTAGTCCCGTTTCAGTACCATTTTAGTCCCGTTTTAATCCTGTTTTAGTCCCATTTTAGTCCCGTTTTAGTCCTAGTTTAGTCCCATTTTAGTCCTAGTTTAGTCCCATTTTAGTCCCGTTTTAGTCTCATTTTAGTCCTAGTTTAGTCCCATTTTAGTGCTGTTTTAGTCCCATTTTAGTCCTGTTTTAGTCTGATTTTATTCCTAGTTTAGTCCCGTTTTAGTACCATTTTAGTCCCGTTTTAGTCCTGTTTTAGTCCTAGTTTAGTCTCATTTTAGTCCTAGTTTTGTCCCGTTTTAGTCCTAGTTTAGTCCCATTTTAGTCCTAGTTTAGTCCCATTTTAGTCCTGTTTTAGTCCCATTTTAGTCCCGTTTTAGTCCTAGTTTAGTCCCATTTTAGTACTGTTTTAGTCCTAGTTTAGTCCCATTTTAGTCTAATTTTAGTCCTGTTTTAGTCCCGCTTTAGTCCTAGTTTAGTCCTGTTTTAGTCCCGTTTTAGTCCTAGTTTAGTCCTGTTTTAGTCCCGTTTTAGTCCTAGTTTAGTCCTAGTTTAGTCCGCTTTAGTCCTATTTTAGTCCCATTTTAGTCCCGTTTTAGTCCTAGTTTAGTCCCATTTTAGTCCTGTTTTAGTCCCATTTTAGTCCTGTTTTAGTCCCATTTTAGTCCCGTTTTAGTCCTAGTTTAGTCCCATTTTAGTACTGTTTTAGTCCTAGTTTAGTCCCATTTTAGTCTAATTTTAGTCCTGTTTTAGTCCCGCTTTAGTCCTAGTTTAGTCCCATTTTAGTCCTGTTTTAGTCCTAGTTTAGTCCCATTTTAGTCCCGTTTTAGTCTTATTTTAGTCCCGTTTTAGTCCCATTTTAGTCCTAGTTTAGTCCCGCTTTAGTCCTAGTTTAGTCCCATTTTAGTCCTGTTTTAGTCTGATTTTATTCCTAGTTTAGTCCCGTTTTAGTACCATTTTAGTCCCGTTTTAATCCTGTTTTAGTCCTAGTTTTGTCCCGTTTTAGTCCTAGTTTAGTCCCATTTTAGTCCTAGTTTAGTCCCATTTTAGTCCTGTTTTAGTCCCATTTTAGTCCCGTTTTAGTCCTAGTTTAGTCCCATTTTAGTACTGTTTTAGTCCTAGTTTAGTCCCATTTTAGTCTAATTTTAGTCCTGTTTTAGTCCCGCTTTAGTCCTAGTTTAGTCCTGTTTTAGTCCCGCTTTAGTCCTAGTTTAGTCCTGTTTTAGTCCCGCTTTAGTCCTAGTTTAGTCCTGTTTTAGTCCCGCTTTAGTCCTAGTTTAGTCCTGTTTTAGTCCCATTTTAGTCCTAGTTTAGTCCCATTTTAGTCCTGTTTTAGTCCTAGTTTAGTCCTAGTTTAGTCCCATTTTAGTCCCGTTTTAGTCTTATTTTAGTCCCATTTTAGTCCCATTTTAGTCCTAGTTTAGTCCCGCTTTAGTCCTAGTTTAGTCCCATTTTAGTCCTGTTTTAGTCTGATTTTATTCCTAGTTTAGTCCCGTTTTAGTACCATTTTAGTCCCGTTTTAGTCCTGTTTTAGTCCTAGTTTAGTCCCATTTTAGTCCTAGTTTAGTCCCATTTTAGTCCTAGTTTAGTCCCATTTTAGTCCCGTTTTAGTCTCATTTTAGTCCTAGTTTAGTCCCATTTTAGTCCTGTTTTAGTCCTAGTTTAGTCCCATTTTAGTCCCGTTTTAGTCCTGTTTTACTCTCATTTGAGTAACTTTATTTTTAGTTTGTTTACATCTCCAAACCTCTAAACGCTCTGTTCCACCTTGTGATGTCATGAAGTGGTAATTTTCAAGTGAACAGCTCCTTTAACCTTTTACTTCAGTCGAGTTTGGCAAGTCCAGAAATGCTGAAATGATCCAAATGATTCTAGTGAAGGTGTGTGGAGTTTACAAACACAATGGAGCACTTCCTGTATCACCGCATGACACGACGAGGTGGGACAGAGTGTTTTCCGTTTGAGAGAAGAACTCCGCCTAAATGTGCAGGGTTTGTGTGTTTGCAGAGTTTTTTTCACGACGGTCCAAAGTGCCGCGTTTAGTCCTGTTTTAGCCTCGGTTTAGTCCTGGTTTAGTCCTGGTTTAGTCCTGGTTTAGCAGCTTCATAAATCTGCCCCATCACTAAATCTTCAACCAACAAGGTCCACAAAGTCCCACTGTAGTCCCATTTTAGGCCTAGTTTAGTCCTGTTTTAGTCCTAGTTTAGTCCTGATTTAGTCCTAGTTTAATCCTGATTTAGTCCTGGTTTAGTCCTGGTTTTGTCCTGGTTTAGTCCTAGTTTAGTCCTGGTTTAGTCCTGGTTTAGTCCTGGTTTAGTCCTGGTTTAGTCCTGGTTTAGTCCTGTTTTAATCCTGGTTTAGTCCTGGTTTAGTCCTGGTTTAGTCCTGGTTTAGTCCTAGTTTAGTCCTGGTTTAGTCCTGGTTTAGTCCTGTTTTAATCCTGGTTTTGTCCTGGTTTAGTCCTGTTTTAATCCTGGTTTTGTCCTGGTTTAGTCCTGGTTTTGTCCTAGTTTAGTCCTGGTTTAGTCCTGGTTTTTGTCCTGGTTTAGTCCTAGTTTAGTCCTGGTTTTGTCCTGGTTTAGTCCTGGTTTAGTCCTGGTTTAGTCCTGGTTTAGTCCTAGTTTAGTCCTAGTTTAGTTCTAGTTTAGTCCTGGTTTAGTCCTAGATTTGTCCTGTGAAGTGATGATGTATTTTTGACAGTCGAGTCGCGTCTGTGATTTCATAATCGTAAATTTTCATTTCGTGATTATAACTTTCATTGTAATTTTTTTTTATTTTTTATATTAAATACATGCAACAGATTTTACGTATGACTGGACTCAATCGAGAGTTTACGAATATTTATTTTACGCTTAACTACAGACAAATACACACGCGAATATTTCTGAAATCTTCCATAGTCCATATCGCCTCTCCACAGATCTGAGCTGTAACCCGGCCCCTCTCCCAGACCAGCATCATCCCTGAACTCGAGTCGTCCCAGAAAAGCCTGTATCTCTCTGATCTAAATGGGCCGGGCGTGAGGATCATGGGAGCTTCTCTGAAAGAACTCTTTGTGTAGAAAAACAACTCCGACATTTCTCACATTTTACGCCGAATCGAGACCAGATCGACTTTGAAGAGATGAAACGGGCGAAGCTAAACCTCGCTCCCGGCTCATTCTTCAAGCCTCGTTTAAGAACATCGGACGATTCTGTTGTTGGATAATGTTTCCAGGAGGGATGAGAAAATATTGGTTTTAAACGATCATCAGAAGCTCGAGGAGGCATTGTGTAACTTTTCAAATGTGTTTCTGTGCAGAGATGTTTTTGCTTTGACTTTGACTTGTCCTAGTTTATACAAGTTACACATCCTTACCCATCGAGGGTCGTTTAGCCCTGTTTTAGTCCTGGTTTAGTCCTGGTTTAGTCCTGGTTTAGTCCTGGTTTAGTCCTGGTTTAGTCCTGGTTTAGTCCTGGTTTAATCCTGGTTTCGTCCTTTTGGTTTAGTCCTGTTTTAGTCCTGTTTTAGTCCTGGTTTAGTCCTGGTTTAGTCCTGGTTTAGTCCTGGTTTAGTCCTGGTTTAATCCTGGTTTCGTCCTTTTGGTTTAGTCCTGTTTTAGTCCTGTTTTAGTCCTGGTTTAGTCCTGGTTTAGTCCTGTTTTAGTCCTGTTTTAGTCCTGGCTTAGTCCTATTTTAGTCCTGGTTTACTAATAGTTTAGTCCTGGTTTAGTCCTTTTGGTTTAGTCCTAGTTTAGTCCTGGTTCAGTCCTGTTTTAGTCCTGTTTTATTCCTGGTTTAGTCCTGGTTTAGTCCTGGTTTAGTCCTAGTTTAGTCCTAGTTTAGTCCTGTTTAGTCCTGTTTTATTCTTGTTTTAGCCCTAGTTTAGTCCTTTTGGTTTAGTCCTTTTGGTTTAGTCCTGGTTTAGTCCTGGTTTAGTCCTGGTTTAGTCCTGGTTTAGTCCTGGTTTAGTCGTTCTGAAGTTGTGGGAGCTTGCAGCATCAGACAAACACTAAATCAGCAACAAAAATAACTCAAATACAAACCAGTGTGGACAGGGACTAATTTTGTTTACAGGCTAGAGTGTCATTAGTCTGCCGACCTACTGTCTTTAAATATGACGTAAAGAGATAAAATATCATTAAATATAGTCTAGATAAACCCAACTTAAAATCCAATAAAGTAAATGTTTCTTCAGGTACATTTTCTCCGTAGCTCATGTATTTCCTGGTAATACGTCGTACGGTAAAACATGATGATCATGTCTGAATCCCTCACCTGAAGGAGCCGTACTCGGGCGGGGGCTGGTACCGCACGTGGGGCATCTCTCTGGAGTGCTCCCTGGGCCTCTGCTCGGGGTAGAAGTGCCCCCCAGGATCCTGCTGCTTGCTGGGCGACCCCATCCCTTTGAAGGGGTAATCGGGCGGCGGTCCTCTGTGCGGGGGCTTGTAGTACTCCCCCGGGCCAGGAGGGGGCAGCTGCGGGGACAGAGGTGCGCTGGTGACGGGGGCGTGCGCTTTCACGCCGCTCGTCGCCAGTGACAGCTGCATGAGGCGCTCGCTGAGAGACCGCACGTGGCCCTGCTTCAGGTCCTTCAGCCCGTCGTCTTGGTGGACTTTCCCGGCGGCGCTGACCCTCTGCACCGTCGGCCGCCCCTCGGTTCGCACTTTAGCGTTCGTTACCGCGGTTACGTAAAAGGCCGCGCCCACCGATGCGGGTAGAGGAGCATTCTGGGAGTTGTTGTTCTGGTTCTGCTGCTGCGGGGGGGGCGGGGGGCCGTGTCCGCGGAAGTACTGCGACTGCACTTTGGCCTCCTCATAGGTGGGCAGGTCCTCGGGGTTCAGGGCGGGGTTTGGGTTTCCGCCGCCGCCGCTCAGGTTGTTGCCGCAGCCGCCGCTGCTGCCCCCGCCCCCCGTGACCCTGGTGCCGCCCAGTTTCTCCAGGGCGGAGTCTGCCTGCAGCTCCTGTCCCTGGGGCTCCTGTCGGGCGATGTGGGGGCTCATGGAGTGGTCGTCAGGGGCAACCGGACCTGCACCTGCCAAAGAGGAAGGTGATGAAGACATAACACTGGACTGGCCCGAGTAGAAAAACATTTCTGTTCATTTCTATGTGCACATTTTAGGTTTAAGATTTGTGGATTTCTTTCTGTTTATTTATTTATGAAAATACAACCTCAGCAATACTTGACCTGCACCTTTGGCACTTGTTTTTGTTTTTCTATATATTGCAGAAAATTGACTCTCGTGAGATTTTAGTCATGTTGTATTGTTGTTCCCTGCTCAAAAACAGACCTGGAGTTGTGTTTTGTGTTTGAGTAACTCTTTATTATTAGTCTGTCCACATCTATCCACGCTCTGTTCCACCTTGTGATGTCATGAAGCTGTAGTTTTCAAGTTAACAGCTCTTCAGTAGAGTTCAGTAGAAAATGGCGATTCCAAGGCTGAAATTATCCAAATAATTCTTGGATGGTGATTTTAATGTCTTTCTTCTGTAATGCAGTTTAAGACTAGACTAAAAACTCCCCTCTTCTCCCCGGCATTCAGTAGTAGCTAGTCGTATATATATTATATACATATATGTTTTATCTGTTCTTGTTAACTTTTATGATCTAAATAGATATAAATAAACTTGAACTGAATTTCTTAAGACACACACTGCCACACACTACAGGACTTTTTGGTCTTAAATGATTTTTAAATGTGTGACAAAAAGCACACACCACAGACACGAGGAGAATCTGATGAGATTTAAAATCTCCAATCTCAAATACTGCAGTGGGATCTGTCTGAGAATCACAGGATATACAAGTGTGAGCACAAATGTGTCAGCTGTTTCTGTTCCTGTCTGAAGTAAAACCAGTCGCTCTGAGACTCTTAAGTGTTCAAAGATCAGACTCTGCACTTCTAGTCTAGACACAAGTCAAAACTGTGTTATTATTATTTGTAAAATGTGGTGCAAAACTTCAGATACAGGATTTTTAAAGCATAAAAGAGGAGATAAAGTCCACAGGAAGTAGAGTCACTGTGGCGAATCTGCAGCTTCACCTCGATCCGTGCGCTGTGTGGATGTAAACAGACACACGTGAGGAACTACTCCGGCCTTTTTACTTTAAAAGAACGACTCAAACTGGATTCACAGTGCCGTTTTTGTGGATCGGGGTCATTATTTGTGGACAACAATTTCTCTAGATAATGTGGATGAGACGCTGCAGTTTAAATTTACAACTTTACGAGAAGTGAGGAATAAAATCTTCTCATTGTTTTCACTATTTCCAGAGTTTGTATCTTGTGTCTCTGTGTCCTGACGCTCTGTTTTTCGGGCTGTTATCGTAGAGTTGCTGATGTTTGCTGGTTTCGATCTGGCACTGACATCGTAAACGAAAACAAAAAGTCCGGTCACGCCTCCCTGAACTTAATGAGAAGCAAATCGCAGCCAAAATCAAGTAAATTCTCTTGTAGTGTGGCGATTTTATTCTGTAAAACACTTTGAATTACTTTATGTTCTAATTGTGCTTTACAAAAACAATACATAAATAAACTTGCCTCGCTTTGGAAGATATTGGCATAAATCTGAACTTTCCTCGCCCCTCACCTTGTTGCTGCTGCTGCTGCTGTTGCTGCTGTTGTTGTTGCTGCTGCTGCTGCTGGAGGACGTAGTTGCGGTTCATCTGTTCCTGCAGGAGGCGCTGTAGCACGGTGCTGCCCCCGGAGCCCACGCTCGCGCTGCTGCTCTGCGCTTCTTCCGCCGCCCTCATCTCTGCCTCGCGCTGGCTCCTCTCGTGGAAAGACAAGCTCCGGCCCCGATCTACCGCCCCTGAACCGAAACCAAAACCAAAAGCCAAATATTTAGAGACGATGTAGGGAAAAAAACAAAAAAAGCGGCATAACTGACAGTGCCCTCCAGGATGATTGAAAAATATTAGAGTTGCATTGTGTAACTTTTCTGGTACAGGGTCCATCAAATGCTTTTTTCCATTTCTCTGGAATGTTCCACAGTATGGCTTTAATCCTTTCTATCTTCATGGAGATCGAACCACACCAAGTTACAGGTCAGATCTGTGGAGAGGCAACCACGCTCACAGTCAGAACGTCTGTTTTTCGAGGTTTTTTTGAGCAATAAAATCACCTGTAATTGAATAAATGTAAAGTGGAGCTGTTTAAAGTCACACTGCAGAACATTCCAGGCAAAGCAATGACATGACAACCTTTAACGGTGGGACGCGATTCAATTTCCAAAAGATGAGACGAGATGCGAGACTGGATCCACAAGAAGGAGACAAGACGAAATTTTTATATAATTCATCGGATAATTAGCCTGATTCATCAGCCGGTTTCACTTCGTAGAAACTGTCTGAACTCGCAGCATTATGATTTGTTTGCTCGACGGTTGGCGGGTACTTTATTACTTAACGAATCGCTGCTGTTTGGTCGTGACGTATGTAATGCGCCGCTAACGGGACAAACTGGTATATTAAGCTCTTCCCAAATTCCGTCTTTCCCCTTGATAAAATTCATCAAACATTCTCTTTGTTCCGGCTTTAAATCCTCGATCTCGGGAATCGTTGACAACACTGAAATATATGTCTCTTCGCTGATTGGCTGGTGCCTGAACTCGCACTTATGGGGTTTTTGTGAACCGTCTAGTGTATTCTGATTCCTGATCTAGTCGCTGGAGACAAATTAAATTGAGCGGAAGAACTGGTGGCCTGGCCTGGCAACCGGATTATAAGGCACATTGTTGATTTTTGAGAACATTAAGGGATTTTAAGTGCGCCTAAGTCCGAAAAATACAGTATTTTTTATTGGACTGTACGGAATCAATTTGAAATATCGTATTGAATAGAAAGTGCACATTACATCGGGTATGTATTGTATTGGCAACTTCTTAACGATACCCAGCCCTAGAAATCTCCCACTACTACAGAAATAAAGTACCCCCAAATTAAATTATAGTTTCATTTATATTATATTGAACGATAAGTACGTAGAGTAAATATCGTGACAAGCCAAGTCCGAGGATTTTCAAGACTCAAAATGGAGAAACATTTTGTAAAAACACAGTAAGTAACGTTTAAAATTTGACTTTTTCCTCAACTAAAATTGTGGATATTAGCGGAGGGCACTGTCATCGAACCGTCAACAGCCACAATGCATGATGGGAAAGCAAAAAAATAAAATAAAATAAAATCACCAGATCACCAAAGCATTCACCAAAAACAGAATCGCACCACGTTGACCAGACCGTGAAAATGACAAAATTACATGCTTGGATAAGTTTTCCACCATTACACAAAAAACAAACAAACAAACAAACAAACATTAAAACGAATCAGCTGCAGCTTTTCCCAAGAAATTTGCAAAAATATTCAGGAAAAAAAAAAGGCAGGTGGAGCTCAAGGTCGTCAAAGATAAAACCGGTTTAGATCATCAATCCATGTGTCGTTCGTTCATTTGTTTTTCAAAATAAAACCAAAAATAAGAAAATAAAAAAACAACTATTTTTTTCATTATTAGTCTCCAAAACCAAAATGAAAAAACAGATAATGATTTGTTTTTTTCAGTTTTCAATTTTGTGTTTAAATGAAAAATGGAAAAAATTGATAACAAACTAAACCAGGACTAAACCAGGACTAAACCAGGACTGAACCAGGACTGAACCAGGACTGAACCAGGACTGAACCAGGACTGATCCAGGACTGATCCAGGACTGATCCAGGTCCAGGACCAGACAGGAACCAGACTAGGATTGAACTAGGACTGAACCAGGACTAAAACAGGTCCGGGACCAGATGGGAACCAGACGGGAACCAGACCGGGACTGGGACCAGGACTCAGACCAGGACTGAGACCGGGACCAGACCAGGACTGAGACCGGGACCAGACCAGGACTGAGACCGGAACTGAGTCCGGGACTGAGACCGGGACCAGACAGGGACTGAGACCTGGACCAGACCAGGACTGAAAACGGTTTAGTCCTGGTTCAGTCCTGGTTTAGTCCTGGTTCAGTCCTGGTTTAGTCCTGGTTCAGTCCTGCGACACAGTTTAAGTCACGTAAATGGGAAGTGGTCGTTATCCGGTTTTTTCCATTTTGCATTTAAACACAAAATCGACAACTGAAAAAACGAATCATTATCTGTTTTTTCATTTTGTTTTTGGAGACAAATGAACAAAATTGTAGTTTTTTTCATTAAAATCCACATTCATTTGAACATCTTTGACCACCTTGGAGCAGTTTGGACAGAAAAACACTTGTTTACATCTCGCGCTTTCTGTGATCCTTCTCATTCTCAGTGAAGACGAGGCTTTTTTCCGAAACATCTGTTGGAGCAAAAGTCAAAGTGAGTTTCTCCTTTGGGCTCAAATTATTTATGATTTAAAAAGGCTCCACACTTCACACAACAAACACGTAAAGAACTGAAGAAAGTAGGTTCACAAGAGCTCGGTAAGATACTAATACACTAAGATAATAATTAGCTGATTAGGGTGTGACTCCGTGAAAATCAAGTAAAAAAAAAAAAAAAAAAAGTCTATATATGTCAGATAAATTGTTTCATTAGATTTTGAATTTTAAAAGCCACCTTGATTTTTATAACTCAACAAAACATTATTTACGTGTACATTCTCAAAGTGAAAATTATTAAAATTCAGCACAAATATTTTCAAGCGATCAAATTCAAAAGTCAAAATTCAGAGTGTAAAACTTGCAGAGAAAAAATATGCAGCACAGAACCAAAATGTTGAGGCAGAAGCAATGGATACAAAGTGACACCTGATCGATTGCTTCTGCCTTGGCATCTTTGCTGCAAATTTTACACTCTGAATTTTACACTCCGGATTAAACTCGCTGGATTTAACAGTCTGAATTTAACACTCTGAATTTAATACTCTGAATTTAACACTTTTAATTGAACACTCGGAATTTAACATTTTAATTTAACATTCTTAATTTAATACTTTTAATTTAACACTCTGAATTTAACACTTTTAACACTCTAAGTTAATACTTTTAATTTAACACTTTTAATTTAATACTTTTAATTTAACAATTTAACATCCTGAATTCAACACTTTTAATGTAACACTCTGAACTTTACACTTAATTTAACACTTTAAAAGTAACTCTTAATTTAACACTCTTAATTTAACACTTTTAATTTAACACTGTATTTGAGGACTTGAAAATACATGTGCTGAATTAATATTTAAAAGGTGAAATACTTACATATTGAAAAGTACACTTAAAATTTCACCGACTAAAATTCATTAAAAAAAATAATTCAAATGTCTTTTTTTAGAGTAAAAAAAATCTAATGTTAGAAATTCAGCGGGATTTAAAACTCAAAATCTGAACAACAAAATGATCTTCCGTATCTATGTAACACATGGTTTTGACTTTCTGAAGTTAGTGACAAAAAATATAAAAACTTTTTCATGATATTGTATTTTTTTGAGATGGACTCGTAGATGATGGACATTGGCACAGTGTTCCAAACAGGAAATGATCATGGACACGCTTCCGGGTCCACTGACTCTGGCTCAGTCGCTCCTGTCTCTGTAACTGTGGCTCAGACTCTCATACACTCATATTCCACTGAGTCGTGTCCTTTAGACATAAGATGAACTGCATCAGCGCACAACGAAAGAGCTGTTTTTTTGAGCCTTAGTTTATGCAAATGAATCATGTGGTTTTAAGTTTTGTTTCTGTAAAACGTAAACAAATATGCGCAGAGCTGTGTGGATAGGGAATGCTTACGGACATAGAAACGACGTGTCCGGATGCAGATCGTTTCCAATATGGTGATTCATTTCAGTGTAAACGTAGTCTAAATGTGGAGATGGTAAAATAAACTTTGGACTGACACAGCTATGCCCAGTCTAAGGCTACATTCAGACTGCAGCCTGAAGTGACCCAAATCCTATATTTTGGCCCCTATGTTCCTGTATCTGATCTTTTAATGACACTTGGATATGTGCTCCTGAAACTGATACATATCTGATCTTCTGACATGTGACTTCAGTGTGAAAGGTCAAAGTGCATTCATCCACCTACATGTTATCAACAAGACACAAATGTCACTATTCTGCACTGAAGTAGGAGAAATTTGTTAATGAACTGAAGTGAAGCACATCACCACTCTTGGCTCCGTCTCCACATCCACACGTTCCTTTCAACGTTCTGTCCCACAAAACACCACGACCAAAAACCTCGTCCTTCTCCTTCTCAATCTCCTCCTTAAAACAAGTAAGTTGTTCATGTTCTGGCTCCGGTACGAGAGGAACTTTAAAATCTCCAGGTGCTCGATGCTCACGTCCATGTTTGGACAACTTCTGTAAACACAGAGACGCTCGCTGCGGTTGACGTCGTCGTGTCTCCAGTGTCACATGTGGGACACTTTCGGGCCGTTTAATGTTCACACTGGAGTCACATACAAGTCACATTTAACTGGAAATGTGAACGACCTCACAAAAACATTGGATTTCACAAAAAAATCTGAATTTAGTGTTAAGCCCTGCAGTCTGAACGTAGCCTAATTACGTCGATTTGTCCAACCAGGATTTCTGCTGAGCCCATATTTGGAAGATAATATCCGATCCAGCAAACTTTTCATCCAATACCAGTATCGTAGTGTTCCTAATATGAACATTTTAAGCCCAAAATGACGAGCCTGACAGCAGCAGTTCCAGAGAGAGGGGCGACGGTTTTTCGTTGTAAAGTGAATTTGGAGCCGATGGAGCCGGAAGCGCGGCCGTGTCCACTTCCTGTTTGGGTTCGCTCTGTCCATTTATATAAACAGTCCTGACACAATCGTTTTCTTTGAACGTGTTTTTTTTCCCGTGGGACGTACTTCCACTGCCATCGTGAGCCGCTCCACTCCTCAGCGCTCGTCACGACTCTGACTCGGAGACAAAGGGGGAGGAGCTGTGGTCACAACAACACACACACAGACACAGACACACACACACACAAACACACACACACACACACACACACACACACAGACACACACACACACAGACACACACACACACACACACACACAGACACACACAGAGATAAATACAGAGTTTGGGCTCCAGAGCTCAGGACTCATGAAAATATATCACACATACAAACTGCAAAAAACATCTATACATGTTAAAAATATGAGTGTCATTCGTTCATTTGTTTTTCAAAATAAAACCAAAAATAAGAAAACAAAAAAATAACAATTCTCTTCATTATTTGTCTCCAAAACCAAAAGGAAAAAACAGATAATGAATCATTTTTTTCAGTTTTGTGTTTAAATGAAAAATGGAAAAAACGGATAACGGACTGAACCAGGACTGAACCAGGTCCGACCAGACCGGAACCAGACCAGGACTGAGACCACGACTGAGACCAAAACTGAGACCAGGACTAAGACCAGGACTGAGACCAGGACTGAGACTAGGACTGAAAACGGTTCAGTCCTGGTTCAGTCCTGGTTCAGTCCTGGTTCAGTCCTGGTTCAGTCCTGGTTCAGTCCGGCATTGCAGTTTAACGGAAAACAGTCGTTATCGTTTTTTTTTTTTTCATTTTTTATTTAAACACAAAATCAAAAACTGAAAAAACAAATCAACAAATAACACACAGATTGTTAAAATTACTTAAAGTTTTTATTATTTATTATTATGAAAGTTCAAAATATCGTTATAAAGACTCAGCAGCCTTGGAATCGATCAAACTCCCTACGGTTCTAGTGTAACCGAGTCGCCGGGGCAACTGGGATTACTGCTCGTTTCTATGGATACGTCCTTGCTCTGCGTGGAATGTTCCACAGTGTGACTTTAAACAGCTCTAACTTTACATTTATGCACTTCTGATCTGATCTGAGCTGTAACTTGGTTTAAACATCAAACTGTGGAACATTCCGGACAAAAGCAGTAACATCTAAACGGACGGAGCCTCCGCCAGAAAAGTTACACAGTGCAGCTTTAACAGAACGCACGACTGATAAACCGCACGAAGCGAGAGGTGGAACATTCCGGACAAAGCAGTAATATTTCTCCCCCACCAGAAAAACTCTACAGGAGTCGAGTTTAAAAAAAATAAAGACCCAAAACTCTCAAAAACACTCTTTTCTGGTGTTATTGCTTTGTCTGGAATGTTTCACAGTGTGGTATTAAACCTTTCTCTCTTCACGGACCACACCAGGCCAAGTTATAGGTCAGATCTGTGGAGAGGCGACCCCGCTCACGGTCAGAATGTTTGTTTTTCCAGGTATTTTTGAGCGATAAAACCAAATGTAATTGAATAAATGTAAAGAAGAACTGTTTAATGTCGTAACTGGTCTTAGTCTAGTCGTGTTTCAGACCTGGTTTAGACCTGGTTTTAGCACTCGGTTTAGTCCTGGTTTTAGTGCTGGTTTTAGACCTAGTTGAGACCTAATTTAGTCCTGTTTTAGTCCTGTTTTAGTATGGGTTTAGTCCTGGTTTAGTCCTGTTTTAGTACGGGTTTAATGGGGGTTTAGACCTGGTTTAGTCCTGGTTTTAGACCTGGTTTTAGACCTAATTTAGTCCTGGTTTTAGCGCTAATTTTAGTTCTGGTTTAGTGCTGGTTTAGTCTTGGTTTAGTCCTGTTTTAGTCTGGGTTTAGTCCTGTTTTAGTCTGGGTTTAGTCCTGTTTTAGTCCGGGTTTAGTCCTGTTTTAGTCCGGGTTTAGTCCTGTTTTAGTCCGGGTTTAGTCCTGGTTTTAGACCTGATTTAGACCTGATATATATTCCTGTTTTAGACCTGTTTTAGACCTGTTTTAGACCTGTTTTAGACCTGGTTTAGACCTGGTTTAGACCTGGTTTAGACCTGGTTTAGTGTTGGTTTTAGACCTGATTTAGACCTGATTTAGTCCTGATTTAGTCCTGTTTTAGTCCTGTTTTAGTCCTGTTTTGTCACTGCAAAGTATCCATAACCAGGTCCATGTGCTCTTCTGAATTTTTGTCCTTCGAATGTGATTTTTTTTCAGTATCGACACCTGAGAAAATAAGGATCTAGTTCAAATATCGATTAGGATCTGATTTTCGATACTTTTGGCAATGTTTATATATAATGTACGTATATTTGCAAATATAAAAGAACCGTAATTTCCTCCAAAAAAACCCAAAAACAACAAAAAGTATTGTGAGTCTGCATAAAAACGTCTCGCCCTGTCGCTGAGATGTGCACAAACACGTCCTGAACTCTGATTCTGAGGCTTTTGTCAGTTCAGATTTCACTCTTTTTGTTGATTCTCCTGGATGATTTTAAAATGTGAACTTCTAAACCAGGTCTAAACCAGGTCCAAACCAGGTCTAAACCAGGACTAAAACCAGGTCCAAACCAGGTCTAAACCAGGTCCAAACCAGGACTAAACCAGGACTAAAACCAGGTCCAAACCAGGTCTAAACCAGGTCTAAACCAGGTCCAAACCAGGTCTAAACCAGGTCTAAACCAGGTCTAAACCAGGTCTAAACCAGGTCTAAACCAGGTCTAAACCAGGAAAACCAGGTCCAAACCAGGTCTAAACCAGGTCCAAACCAGGTCTAAACCAGGTCTAAACCAGGTCTAAACCAGGTCTAAAACCAGGACTAAAACCAGGACTAAAACCAGGTCTAAACCAGGACTAAACCAGGTCTAAACCAGGACTAAAACCAGGTCTAAACCAGGTCTAAACCAGGACTAAAACCAGGTCTAAACCAGGTCTAAACCAGGACTAAAACCAGGTCTAAAACCAGGTCTAAAACCAGGTCTAAAACCAGGTCTAAAACCAGGACTAAAACCAGGTCTAAAACCAGGTCTAAAACCTGGTCTAAAACCAGGTCTAAACCAGGTCTAAAACCAGGTCTAAACCAGGTCTAAACCAGGTCTAAACCACGACTAAACCAGGACTAAACCAAGACTAAACCAAGACTAAACCAGGTCTAAACCAGGACTAAATCAACACTGAACCAAGTCTAAACCAGGACTAAAACCAGGTCTACAACCAGGACTAAAACCAGGACTAAACCAGGTCTAAACTAGGACTAAACTTTGAACAGAAAATCATTATTAAAACATCATTCTCAACTCTAAATCTCAATCACAGTCCTGTCAGAAAACTTAAAGTTTTTTTAAAATCACACAAAACTGACTCTTGTGAGTTTTAAACCGAGTTATAATCTTATTTCCTCGTCAAAAACAGACCTGGACTTGTGTTTTGTTTCACTCACATATTTGAAAAACTCTTTTACTATTAGCTTCTTCTTCTTCTCCAAAGCTCAAAATATCAACTTGTGATGGCATGAAGTGGTAGTTTTCAGTTTACAGTACAGATTGTTCAGTAGAAATTGACAAAGTGAATATTTAGGTCAATTAAAATGTCTTAAATTAAAAACATTTTACTTTATTTGAGTTGAATCAACTTAAGTAAAATTATCCACCAATGTGATGAATAAGTGTTTTTCTTAAATCAAGCAACATTAGATTTTGTTTCTTATTTGAAATGCAAAAAGTTTGTTTGTTTTTCTTATTCTAAGTGAAGCACGATGTATTTTCATAATTTAAGTACAAAAAGGCTTAAATAATTTTACTTGTCAAATGAAATTTACTCAAATCATGATAAAACTTTCTTAATTCAAGTCATCTAAACTTGGCTAGATTTAGTTTTTTTGCAGGTCAAAACCAGGACTAAACCAGGACTAAAACCAGGTCTAAACCAGCACTAAAACCAGGTCTAAACCAGCACTAAAACCAGGTCTAAACCAGCACTAAAACCAGCATAAAACCAGGTCTAAAGTCAGTCTAAACCACAGCATATATATATTTTTTTAAACCAGGACTAAACTAGGGGTAAAATAGAAATAAATCAGGTTATTTAGTCCTGGTTTAGTCAGAAGTGAACCAAAATTAAACCAGGACTAACATGCAGTAAAACCAGCACTAAAAACCAGTTCTAAACCAGCACTAAAAACCAGGACTAAACCAGGACTAAAGTCAGGCTAAAATATGAATAAACAAAGTCTGTATCAGGACTGAACCAAAACTAAACCAGGACTGAGTCAGGACTAACATGCACTAAAACCAGGAGTAAACCAGGTCTAAACCACCACTGAAACCAGCACTAAAAACAAGGTCAAAACCAGGCCTAAACCTGGACTAAACCAGGACTACAGTAGGGCTAAAATATGAAAAAACAAGGTCTGTATCAGGACTGAACCAAAACTAAACCAGCACTGAGTCAGGACTAACATGCACTAAAACCAGCACTCCAACCAAGTTTAAAACCAGATCTGAAACCAGGTCTGAAACCAGGACTAAATCAGAACTAAACCAAGACGAAACCAGGGCTAAACCAGGGCTAAACCAAGACTAAACCGAGACTAAACCAAGACTAAACCAAGACTAAACCAAGACTAAACCAAGACTAAACCAAGACTAAACCAGGACTAAACCAGGATTGAATCAGGATTAAAATGCACTAAAATGAGATCTAAACCAGGACTAAACTATGACAAAAAACACATCTAAACCAGGACTAAAACCGGGACTAAACTAGCACAAACCCAGGTCTAAACCAGGATTAAACCAGAATTAAACCAGGATTAAACCAGGACTAAACCAAGACGAAACCAGGACTAACATGCAAGTAAAACCAGCAAACTCCATGGAGTTTAAAAACACAGTGGAGCACTCCCTGTACCACCACATGACATCACAAGGTGGAACAGAGAGTTTTCAGTTTGAGAGAAAAACTCAGTGTAAATCTGCAGGTTTGTGCGTTAAACGTGTGAATAAAACAAACAAAAACACAACTCCAGGTCCATTTGTGACGAGGAAACGACATTTTAATTTAGATTTAAATTGTTTTTGGGGAAAAATTGTGAAATATAAAAACAAAATTAAAAAGAATTGTTCAGTTATTACGAAACGAGCAGCTCAAAAAAAGCATTA